GTTTTTTGGGTCTGGTCATGGGGCCTGAACTCTGGGCCTGGGTGCTGTCCCTCAGCTCTTCAGCTCAAGGCTAGCACTCTACCACTTGAACCACAGCGCCACTTCCAGCTTTTTTCTTTTTGCTTATGTGGTGCTGAGGAACGATTCCAGGGCCTCATGAATGCAAGGCAAGCGCTCGACCACTGAGCCACCTTCCCAGCCCCTCATTTGTTTTTTTATAATAAACTTTCCACAATCAAAGACATATTTTTTGCATTCTGATCTATTGAATCCTAAGCCTATGAAACCATGATCTTGGTAAGCCTTCCAATACTATCTTTTCCACCTTGGTCACACATGTAGTATGACCAACTGAAACAACTCTATGTCGGGGTATAAATAGATGCACAACTTCTATCATTTCCGTGTCACAGTGGAGGGTGTGATGGATAAATCTTCATTGTCAGCTTGTCTGGATCCAGCAAGAAGCAAGGAATTAGTAAAACTCACCTCTGTGTGTACTTTCTGTTTATGTCAGTGATGATGTTTCCATAGAGGACTAGATCATAAGGCTCTGACCTAGTGAATGTACTAACCACTTAATGTGATAGTATTATCCAGAGGTGGGATTAAAAAGGTAGGCCATGGGGTCTAGCAAGAAGAAGTAGGTCACTGAGCATGGCCCTTGGGGGCTACACCTTGCTTTGGTCTCTTCCTTTTCTGTTTCCTGTCTGCTGTGAGGTCAAGAATCTCTTCCAACACAGTCTTGCTGGCATGATGTTCTGCTCACAGGGCCAAGAAACCATGACCTAAACCTTCTGAAAATGTGAGCAAAAAAAATCCTTCCTCCTATAAACTGTATTTCACCATACTGAAAGTAATTAATACAGAGGATTTACATTTTGCACTGATCTTTATGTTGAAACCTATAAAAGCAACTTTAGTCCTTTACTGTTTATTATGGCAGTATGAAGACGAAAGGCTATAAGCATAAACAAAACTAGCTCTTCTCTCCTAAAACAGTACATGTTATAGCTTGCAAATCCTGAAAAGCCTAAGACATTGCAAGTGATTAGACACATAGATTTCTTTTCTTCTTCCTGGAACTAGAAAATGGCTATATTTTCATTTACAAAATTTAATAAAGTAAGATCATTCTGATGAACCTCACACGGCTATTGATTTATTTTGGGATAATTAAAATTTATTGGTTCATAAGTTAGCCTCTAGTCAATCTTAAAATATACCTCAAAGTAAAATCAATTTGAATTTTATTATGTACATAAATTTGAAAAGAACACTTTAGGAAGAGTAAAAGGAACATGAAAAATGTTGAGTTTATAGAAGAAAGCTATTTGCAAAATTTTTCAGAAATTCAGAAGGCTACTTTAAGAAAACAAATATTACTAACTAGTAGAGGCTAGCTACTCCTGAGTACCATACTAGCAGTTTCCAAATATCAGTTCTTTTTCCTTTCTCCTTCTCCCTATTGTCTTCTTCTTCCCACTCTCTTTCTCTCTCAAAGACACATGTCACTATGTGACTGTCTCAGTCTTTTGAGTGCTGGAATCCTGCATGTATACAAATACACTTGGCTTAAAACTAGTTCTTTTAGGAGTACTATTTTTTAAATAATCTAAAAACTAGGAGTATTAGGCATTTTAGTAAAGAAGTAGGACAAAAAAGTCAGTATTTAGTTATCTACTTGAAGGCATACCAATTTCTTACATATTCTTTCAGAGATAAGACATGTATGAATGTATGCATATATATGTTCTTAAAAATCACATTGTCAGTTATTCGACATAGTTTTCTGCATTTTGCTTTACGTTTGATGCTTGCTATTCCATGTTAAGACAGTGTGACTTCCCTAAGACACATGAAAAAAAATGCATGAACTGATTCTAGATATCACTTACACTGCCCACTCTAAAATGTCATAAAGAACAGGGAGTGCCTGCTTGGCTTTGTGTAGGCCCTGAATCCAATTACTGACACTTTGAGAAAAAAAGCCTGAGACTTTACAATTTGTAACTAGTAAAAACCAAAGACTAATTTATTTAATCAGAATATGTAGAAATCTGCAAATAATTACCCTTAATTAATTAATTAATTTTTGCCAGTAGTAGGCTTGAACTCACAACCTCATGCTCTTGCAAGGCTTTTTTGAACACGATTGGTATTCTACCATTTGAGATATACCTCCAGTCCTGGCATTTTACTGGAGATAAGAGTTTTTTTTTTTCCTGGAGATATGAATTTCATGATTTGTCTGCTTCAGTTGGCTTCAAACTTTGATCTTCAGCTCTCAGACCCTCAACAGCAAGTATTATTATAGTCATGACAAACCAATACTGCTTTGTTTTCTAGTAAGAATGGATTGATTGTTCCTCATGAAAAATGTCAGGCACCTTTTGTTAGATGTGCTTAGTCATTTAAAATTTGCTACAATGAAATTGACAGGATGTCATGAGAAGAGAATAGGAATAAGATAGTCGATAAAAGTTCTAATTTAGAGTTGATAGCTTCTACATTCATTTTAAACAAGGACATTACCTTCGAGGGATATTGTGAGGGTAGGGAATGACAATCAGCTGGGAATTTGGAATGATTGCAGTCCACTCTTGTTTTCTTACTGACTGGAAAAAAAATAAAAAAAATTAATACTTAGAACATTTAAGAAACAAAAATATTCTCCTACATAAGGAAGCAATCTCAAGTGTTTTGAGAAGCTGAAATCCTACGTATGGATTAAGATAGGTGTGTGTGTGTGTGTGTGTGTGTGTGTGTGTGTGTGTGTGTGTGTGTGTGTGTGTGTGTGTGTGGTGCAAAATAGGGTTTTTTTTGTAAAATTTTAGGATCTTTTTAGGTCAGGATCCTTTAGGGCAGGATTGTTTTGTGTCTTCTGAATTCATTCTCTCAGTAAATATTTCTTAGACAAACACAGCAGGCAATGTTTAAAGTGATAAGAATAAGTTTTGCTTACTCAAGTTGGAGGAGACTGAAAAATGACACATTATTCTACATATTATATTTTTGTTTAACACATGTATATGGGTATATTAAAAATCTTTTAGTTATGTTAGTAAAATATTCTCTAGGTTGTTAAGTGATGAAAAATGTAGAAAAAAAGCAAGCAGGAAGAGAAGATGGGAAGTTATGAAGTGTAAGGGCAAAGAAATGAAAAAAAAACTAGTATTTTCAACCATAGTATGTTCTATATAAGATAAGCTAAACAAGTCAGTGCCAATCACTACTTTTATTCTTTAAAGGTAATAAAGGTACTTGAATTATTTGAATTCAAATTTAATTGATTTCAAATTATTGAACTCAAATATTTAAATGGTATTAAAACAGAGTAATTATAAACAAACTAAATTCTTACCTTCTCCCCAGATGGACGAGGGATGCCAACATGAAGATGGTCAAGAAAATTTGCACTTCGACCTAAACCAAGCACACTGTATGGTAGCTGAAGAGCTAAGTGTGCCGACTGGCTGAGCTGTGCAGCTGCGGTTATTCAAACAAAGCAAAACAAAAATCATTGCTGGAAACATTGCGCCCATCAAATATTACAATGATAAAATGTTCAGAATTCAGGTAATACAACTTATTCTTAAGGTACAACAATGCAAAGCAAATGTTTACTTCATTAATATTAATAATTCATGTTTACAAAATGAAACAGCTTTAAGATTTAATTGATATTAAAAATTACCTATATAAAAGGGTATAGTTAAGTGTTTTGGTGTATCTGAAGAGTATCCTGAAATACTGTAATATATATGTGACACTTGAGTTACTTAAAAAAGAAACTCCACACCAGCAGTGTTAACTTGTTTCCAGCCACCACACTTTCAGGTGTAAAGAAACTGCTTCCTGTCTCTGAAGACTTCATACACAGCTGCCCTCATACATTGTAAGGTCTGTTTTCAACTGGCTTTCACCTAGCTTAATGCTCTCATGGTTCAGGCATTTACTTCATTGTCTAACTTCCAGATAACATATCATTATATTGTATTCACTACATTTTGTTTCATTAAGTAATTTGATGGATGGATGTTTGGGTAATTCCACTTTTTTGCTATTATGAATATTAATGTGGAATTAATATACTTTTTTGTATGTTTGTTTTCCTGTCTTTTGATTATAGACCTAAGAGTGTTTAGCATCACTAGGAACTACAGATCTGCTTTCTAAACTAGCTATAGCATAGCTTGATGGGAGGAATAACTATATTGGTCAAGTATGGTTGACAGCAATTAATTGTATGTATCTAAATAGCTACCACACAGATTTTGAATGCTACTAACACAAAGAAATGGTGTGAGGTGATGGATATGGGAAATAACAGATTTGATCATTTATACATTGTATAATATACTGAAATGTCACACTGTACTCATAAATATGTATAATTTTGTGTCAAGTAATAAGGTGTCACTATTTCATGTTCCTACCGGCAGTGTATAAAGATACTTCCAATTATTCTGCATCTATACTTATTGTCTTCTGGGTTGCAACTTTAACTGTTGTGAAATAATAACCCATTGGATATTTTATTTGAATTTCCCTAATGACTAATGATGTTGAGTTTATTTCTTATGCACTTATTGATCATTTGTGTCATTATATGTCATTATATTCCTTTTTATTTCTGTAAGGTTAGTAGTAGTCTCATTCTGGATTTTAGTAATTATAATCTCTTTTTCTGATTAAGTCTAACTAAAGGTCTATCAACTTAATACTAGTTTTTTTTTCTTTAGTGAAGGTATCTGGGCTTAAAGTCAGGGTCTCATACTCTCACTTGATTTTCTTGTTCATAGCTGGTCCTCTATTGCTTGAGTCATGACTGTACTTCAGAATTTTACTGGTTAATTGGAGATAGAATCTCTGACTTTTTTGTCTAGGCTAACTTTGAAGTGCAATCCACCAGATCTCAGTCTTTTGGGTAGCTAGGTATGAGCCACTGGTGCCTGGTTAATTTGTTAATACTTAAAAAAAAAATCTTTGGGCTGGGCACCGGTGGCTCATGCCTGTAATCCTAGCTACTCAGGAGGCTGAGCTCTGAGGATTGCAGTTCAAAGCCAGCCTGGGCAGGAAAGTCTGTGAGACTCTTATCTCCAATAAACCACTAGAAAACCGAAGTGGTGCTGTGGCTCAAGTGGTAGAGTGCTTGCCTTGAGCTGGAGTGCAGGGACAGTGCCCAAGCCCAGAGTTCAAGCTGTCTGTATTGCCTATTTCAATTATTTCCTGCCACTTGATTATTTTGGTTTTTCTTTTCCACTGATACTTCAATGATGTTAAAAAAATCACTAGTGGAATATTTTGAAAATTCATAAATATGTGGAAATTAAAAATCCAAAGTAAATAATGAGATGAGGGAAAAGTCACAAGAAATTAGAAAATACCTTGATGTATATGTAAAAAAGTACAACACATCAAAATCTACAAAACCTACAGAGTACAACTAAGACAGTCATTCCCTACTCTATCCCGCCCCCCTTGCCCCAGGGCACTATTCCTGAGCTTTTATGCTTAAGGCCAGTGCTTTACCACTTTGAGCCACAGCTCCAATTTCGATTTTCAGATGGTTAATTGGCAATAAGAGTCTCACAGACTTTCCTGTCTAAGCTAGCGTCAAACCTCAATCCTCAGATCTCAGCCTCCTGAGTAGCTAGGATTACAGGAGTGAGCCACCAATGCCTTGCTGCTATGACAGTTTTAATGGGGAAAGTTATTGCTTGGAAATGCCTATTAAATAATAACAACAATCTGAAACAAGTTGCCTGATCTATTTCCTTTCCTTCCTTTTCCTCCTTTCCTTTCCCTTTTGCACCACCACCCCCACTTTCCCTCTCTTCTCTCCTCATCTCACATTATCTTTTCTTGGGGTCTCACTATGTTGCCTAGGCTGTTTTAAAACTTCTTTAATACGTGATCCTCCACCTCAGCCTCCTGAGTAGTTGGGACCATAGGGGACATCTCCATGTCTGGCGCCAATTAATATGAAATCATCTATTTCTCATTTTAATATTTCACATATTTTTGGGCTCTTTTGTGAAGTGCATACGTATTTAGGGTTTTTAAAAATTCAGTCTGACTCTCATTTGTGTTTCATTTACATTGAGTGTATTGTAGGGCAGTATTGTATGTGTACTATTTGCTGTTTATTTCATGTATCTTATGTTTACAAAATTCTTTTATTTCTCCATTGATGCTTTGTTTTATTAAATATTTTCTTTTCCATATGGATTTTGAAATAGAGTCTTCACTATGTAACCTGGGCTGACTTTGAGCTCTTGATCTTCCTGAGTGTTGAGATTACAGGTGTAATCTGTCTTTTAAACCAGGTTCTACATACTTATGTCGACAGTTAACATTGCCAGCAACATTTATTGACTCGTGTGTATTCAAGTTACTGACTAGTGTCCCTCAGGTCAGCTTGAAGGGCTCCCCATAGTTTTCAGATACTGCTAGCGATAAGTTCTGTCTCTGGTTATCAAGGAATGTCTAAAAAAAATGTCATTTTGGAAGGATAGTTTTGTCAGATATAGAATCCTTGATAGATAGTACTATTTTCTCCTTTTCTTTTAGCACTTTGAATGCCTTCTAGCCTCTATCATTTCTGATGATGAACCATCAACTGTTAACCTTATTGAAGATGTCTTAAATTTGATGAATTATTTCTCTTGCTACTTTCAAGAAGCTGTTTCTTTACAGTTTGACTATGATGTGTATGAGTACAGATTTGTGAGTTTATTCTGCTTGGTTTGCTGAGCTCCCCAGATATTCCAATTAATATTAGGGTGGATTCATTATTCATTATTTCTTCAGATAGTCTTCCTTCCACTTTCTCTCCTTTTTTTTCATCCTAAAATTTCTATTACAAATATTGGTATCCCTGGTGGTGCTTTCCTAGATCTTTGAGATGTAATTTCATTTTTTTTCTGTAATTCAGAGTAAATACTTGGAATTGATAACATATACAAATTTGAGGATCATTTTGTTAACTAAAATCTGTTGCTGAGAACTCTACTCAATTTTTGTTAGTGTACTTAAAAATTTATTGTAAAGGTGATATACAGAGGGATTACAGTTACATGAGTAAGGTAGAGATTACAATTTTTGTCTAATTTGTTACTCCTTCTCTCATTTTCTCCCTCTTTCCCTCCCCTCTAATTCCCCCTGCCCAACGTATTTCCAACACTGTCTTGTATCGCTGTTGCACAGGTTGCCCTTTGTCCTTTACCTCACCATTTTGTTCTTCCCCTTCCCTTCCCTAGTACAGATAAATGTATATACAATATCCAGGGTACTAAAATTGAATGCAGTGACAACAGGGGATAAACTATAGGGGAAAAACAAAAAGAAAAAAGAAACCATGTAGTACATTGCGAACAACAACGAAAAACCTCTTGTGTCCATGTCTCAGAGTTCATTTCACTTAGCATTATCTTATATAGTCATATGCACATAGCTATTGAGCTACACTGCCCATCTGCTAAGATTATCCTAGATGTATACTAATTATTACAAATAAGGGAGACCACGGACCTATGTTTCTTTGGGTCTGGCTTACTTCATTTAATATGATTTTTTTTCCAAGTCCATTCATTTCCTTACAAATGGGGCAGTGTCATTCTTTCTGATGGAAGCATAGAATTCCTATGTATATATATATATATGTGTGTGTGTGTGTGTGTGTGTGTGTGTGTGTATCACATTTTCTTGACCCATTCATCTACTGAGGGGCATCTGGGTTGGTTCAATATCTTAGCTATGGTGAATATTGCTGCAGTAAACATAGTTGTGCTGGTAGCTTTAGTATGGTCTTGTTTGTGGTCATTTGGGTAAATGCTCAGAAGTGGGAATCTTAGGTCATAGGGGAGCTCAATGTGTAGTCTTTTGAGGAACCTCCATACTGCTTTCCAAAGTGGTTGAACAAGTTTACACTCCCACCAACAATGAAGTAGAGTTCTCTTTTGGCCACATCCCCTTCAGCATCTGCTGTTACTCGATTTCTTGATTATAGCCATTCTAACTTGGGTGAGGTGCAATCTCAATGTTGTTTTGATTTGCATTTCTTTTATGGCTAAAGAAGGTGAGCTTTCTTCATGTGTCTATTGGCCATTCTTATTTCCTCTTCGGAGAAGTCTCTCTTTAAGTCTTTAGCCCACTTATTAATAGGTTGGTTGTTTCTTTGAGGATTTGTTTTTAGGGGATTTAATTTTTTGAGTTCTAAGTATATTTCAGATATGAGGCCCTTGTCTGTTGTATGTCTAGTAAAAGCCTTCTCCCAATCTGTGGGCTTTCTTTTGATATTGCTTGCTATGTCCTTTGCCATGCAGAAGCTCTGCAGTTTCATGCGATCCCATTTGTCCAACCTCTCTTTGATTTGTTGTGTTTTGGGGTCTTTTTAAAAGAAAATTTCCCCCTGTGCCAAGAAGCCCTAAAGTTTTTCCTATTCCTTCCTGTAATGTTTTCAGGGTACCTGCTTTGACTTCGAG